CGATTGCCATTAATATTTTACCATTATGTGGGGGGTATTTTTGCGATAAACTACATCCGCGTCCTGCGGTAAGTCGAAAAACATAAGAATTTATCCATTTCAATGTTTCAGTTAGACGAAAGGCACGAAACAGTGGTCAAGGGAGGTTTGTAACTTTCACAGTTAAATTAATAATTCCGAAACAAACTCAGTCTATCCCGGGATTGAATAAGACAGACGAATTTTATTTTTTCGTCGGTTGAAATAAACGTATTCTTCATATGAGGTGATTTTGGATTTTATTGTGTATTAATTATTTGCTCTGTTATCATAAATACATTGAGTTCTTTTTGTGGACCAATTTTAATATTTTATATTACTAAGATCCACTTGGATTAATATACCAACGGATTTATTACTTTTACCACACACACACACACACACACACACACACACACACACACACACACACACACACACATACATACATACATACATACATATATATATATATATATATATATATATATATATACAGTCCCCTCCATGAGTTCAGAATTTCAGTTTTTATTTCCTGGTATTTACATTTAGATGTGTTAAACAGTTTAGGTCATACCATCATTTGTATCAGATCACTCCATTTTTAAATGAGCAAAAGTAAAGGAACAGATAGTCTTAAAGTAAATAACATTTAATATTTGGTTGCATAACGCTTGCTAGTAATAACTGCCCCAAGCCTGCGACCCATTGACGTCACGAAACTGTTGCATTCTTCAATTGTGATGCTTTTCCAGACTATTAACGCAGCCTCTTTCAGTTCTGGTTTGTTTCGTTTTTTTTTTCGTTCAGTCTCCTCTTCAAGAGATGAAATGCATGTTCTTTTGGGTTATGGCCCGTTGAGTGATTTGGCCAGTCTAAAACTGTCCACTTTTTACCTCTGATGAAGTCCTTAGTTGTGTTGGCAGTATGTTTTGGGTTATTGTCTTGATGCATGACAAACTTCCACTTGATTAGTTTGGATGCATTTCTCTGTAAATTGGCAGACAAAATGTTTCTGTAGACTTTTGAATGCATTCTGCAGCTAGCAGCATGAGTTACATCATCAATAAATATGAATGAGCCTATTCCGGAAACATCCATGTAAGCCCAAACCAAGACACTGCCTCCGCCATGTTTCACAGCTAAGCTTGTATGCTTTCTTTCTCCATACTTTGGTTTTTCCATGACTTTGGTAGAAATTATTCTTGGCCTGATCAGTCCATAAAACATTCTTCCAGAACTCATCTCTGTACTTCCTTACAAATTCCAATCTGGTCTTCCCATTCTTACTGCTGGTGTTATATATTATATTTTGCTCTCGAAGTCTTCTTCGGACGGTGGATTGTGAAACTTTCACCCCTGCACCTTGGAGGTTGTTGGTAATGTCAATGACTGTTTTTTTTGTGGGTTGTTTTTCCTCACAAGAAATATAGTCCTTATAGGTGACACCAAAGACTAAAAACAAGAGTAGTCATGCAGGGTTATTTAATGTATAAGCAATAAATCTAAAAGGCAACACCTCGGCAACAATTTTCAGTCACGTGTTCCAATAGTTTTGCTCACTTGAAAGATGTGTGGGGTTAAACAAAAGATGGTAAGTTCTAAGTTGTTTAACGCATCTATATGTAAATACCAGGAAATAAAAGCTGAAATTTTGATCTCTTGTATCATAGGCATCTTTTGATCTTAAACCCTTCAGTGAACAACAAAACAAAGGATTGACCTTGCCGTTCCAATACATTTGGAGGGGAGTATATATATATATATATATATATATATATATATATATATATATATATATATATATATATTAATACAAGTAAAATGTTTGTCATTTAGCTGATTGATGTTACCTTCAGCATCTCGACTCCAGAGTTTCATAGACGGATCCCCCGTCCATTCGCCAGGGGGTATCAGAAATTGACTGCTTATACTTCTCGATTTTTCATTTTATATGCACTTTCATTAGTGCAAGTTTTCTTTTTTTTTTCAAAGTGTATGTATGCGTATATGCATTTGAGCGCGTGTGCCTATGTGTAGAATGTCGTGATTATTTGTTCATTACGTCGTTTTCTCTTTACACTCACTCCTTAAGCTTTTCTCTCTTTTTACTCTTTTCTTTCAATTGTTACTATTTGACTTCCGGTTTTATATGAATACACGTTGCGTTTTATGTATGTGGACATTTACATAATTTATTCATACATAAATAATCCAGTTATTTTTACGGGTATTATGCTAAATGGGGCGTATCTATAATACACATTGTTAATACTCATCTATTGTCACCGTTTTATAAACTGTGGCTGTTACAGGCATAAAGTGTATATACTCAAAAATTCGATTTGTTGAAATTGCGGTAGAAATCATCAGTATTACCATATTTAAACACATTTATTGTGCGTCCTGGGTATGACGATAAACTACATCTGCGTCCTGGGTATGATGATAAACTACACCCGCGTCCTGGGTATGACGATAAACTGCATCCGCGTCCTGGGTAAGACGATAAACTACATCCGCGTCCTGGGTAAGACGATAAACTACGCCTAACAGCAAGGCCTCTGATCAGGAGGTTTTGAGGAGCGTGGAACCACCTCTTAATTGTTGGTATTCCCAGGTCCACCCTGACCCGGGGTGGTAGCACCTGTTAGGTTCCCAGCTATGGGCAAATAGTTAACTCCGAAACTGAGGTAAAAAGCATTATAAAAGTGTAAAAATAGGTTTTAATAACAGAAATACTTTGTAAAAAATTATTATCAGAAATAAGTTTTTGAAGAAAAAAAAATATTTTTGGAAAAAAAAAAACTATTACTAGCAATATATTTTTGAAAAAAAATATTATCAACAATATGTTTTTGGAAAAAAATTATATTAACAGCAATACATGTTTTAAAATAATATTACCAGCTATACATTTTTGAGAAAAATATATTACCAGAAATAGATTTTTGACAAAGCAAAGAATTACCAGAAAAAAAAAGTTGTCGCCATTAAATAACCCATTGAGGTTGATATGCCGTAAAGCACAACAAACTAACAAACCAACAACATTTATTGCTCTCATGAATAATGCCATCGTCAGTTTTGTGTCATTCGTTGAAAGAAAGAAAGCTTGACCGACTGAACTATGCTAACAATCAATTGAAATCAAATCAGTATCTCGTGTTTCTCTATCCTTAGCTAGTACTCACTGCAACAACAATAATACATTCAATAAAGCTTGTTGCTAAAGGCCATCAGTCATTTACACATAGGATAGAACGCTGTAATAACAATGCATCAGCTATTGTTCTGTGTTGCTAAGCTAGTCTACTGGGTATAGACATATTTGGTAAAGACTGATTTGATCTGGTAATGAAATGCCCCCATCTTCTTCTGTGCCGTGTCTCTTCAGGACGTTGGAGATAATGCCTCTCCACAATTTTCTTGTTCTCTGTAGCTCTTAATAAATTTTGTCTTTTTGTTATTTCTCCTAAACCTAGTTCTGCCATCCATTTACTCAAGCTCACTAGAAAGGTTATGCGTTGTTTTCCTGTCCCTCTTGCCTTCGATTGCGCTGTGAATATCAAATTTTCCAAACCCTCTTTCCTCATTATGTGCCTTGGAAATTTCAACTGTCTCTTCTTGGTGTTAAGTGTAACAGCACATCTTGTTTTCATTTTCTCTAAAACTTCATCATTGCTCACATGTTCGGTCCATGGTATTCTCAGCATCCTTCTGCAGAATCACATTTTTATTGCTTCAAGTCTCTTCTTCATCTGTGAAGAGATCACGCAACAGTCACTTCTATATAGGAGGACAGCTATTACGTAATAGTTCAGTACTCTATTCGTAGTTTCTAACGAACTTTTTCTGTTTCTTAATACTTTGCTTAGCTTTTGGAAGGTATTTTTTACTAACTCAATGCGCCTTCGGTTTTTAATTTGCATATTGGGCTGATATCCTCAATTCAATTACTGGAATTCTGAAAATGGGGACTTCTAGGGCTTCAATTTCAGCTTTCTTTCAGAGAGGCGGATTTCCAAGTCACTGTTCAATGCCTTAGAGCTATTTTTCCGTGGATGTTTTCAGTGGACCATACAAGCTATGTACGATGGCTCCCCGTTCATATCAAAGTTATGATGCAGCTATAACAGCAGGTGTCTCCCAGTTTATGAGGAATTGGAGAGGGATAACTATTTAGTATAAAAATCACCCCTTGTGTTCTCGACCGTGACCATGGACCAAGCCTGAGAACACTAAATTCAAAAGAAATGGTGGGGTAATTGGAGTAACAGATAACCAACCTACTTTGATGAAATGGATTGCAGCTGTTTCAGAACTTTCTTGGGACATTGATGAGTTTGAAAGCTTCTTTGAAAAATATACATAAACGCTAAATAATACGTGAATCAGTTAACCTCCGTTCAGTTTAAGCTTGCACAGCATATCGAAACAGTAGTTACAGCATTTCAGGAATTGGGAAATCTAAGAGTACTGATCTGTCATGTAATATCAGTCCTCCCATATGACAATGAATGCAGGAAAATCTCCCCACAGACGAAGAGAATACCATGGACTGAATATGTGAAGGACGACGAGGTTTTAGAGACAATGGGAAAAAAGGAAACTTATACTTAACAGTTGAAATTTTACATAATGAGAAAAGAGGGTTTGGAAAATTTAATATTCACAGGATAGATTGAAGTCAAAAGAGACAAAGCAAAACAACGCATAACCTATCTAGCTTGAGTAAATGGATGGCGGAACAAAGTTTTGGGGAGATAGCAAGACATGTTTTGCTAAGAGCTGCAAAGAACAGGAAATTGTGGAGAAAGATCACCAGCGTTCTGAAAGGACACGGCACACAGAAGAAAAATTCACATGTGTGAAAAAAATCATAGATAAAAGCGAAATTTCCAGTCTCAAGAACATTAAAAAGAAGTAATAGACCGTTCATAATTCTTATGTTACTGTTTGGCTTGAAAACGAGTGAGGATTACGGCCACATCACGTTGAAACACTGGTTTCCGTAGAATCACCGAAGTTAAGTAACGTCGATCCTGGTCAGTACTTAGATGGGTGACCGCTTGGGTAATACCAGGTGCTGTAAACTTGGATGTGCGGGTGATGTAATGGATATTGTCTCGGAATTGTTGGTCGGAGAGCCGAGTTCCAGTTCCCGTTGGGTTCGTTATATTATTCACTACGCGCAAGTGCCCTTAGGAGAGAAGAGGAAATCCACATTTTCTTCCCCCAGCTATGGGTTAATTAGTAAAACTTGTATCGCTAAACCATTATTATCTAAAAAAAATTCTTACAATCTAAAAATATTTTCTGGCTTTAAATAACATGCAATGGGTTGATAAGCCGTAGAAAACGAATCAATCAGAAAACGAGTGACTCTAGTATAAGACATTATGTGAAAAAAACTTTTCCATAAGATATCACCTGTATGACAGTTTATGACTTCATGTCAAATTTTGAAATATAACTGCCAAATATTTGGCAGTAAGTACATTTATGTCAATACAAAAATGGAGATATGGATGAGTATTTTTAATCACAAGAACCAGAGCACATCACTTTCTCTTTCGGGGATTAGCAATGAATGAAATCAGCCCTTACTGGATGGTTCGATAAGCAAACAGTTTAGATAGTGCTGTCAAAGCGAACATGCTTTTGTTGCCAAATATTACAAAACATTTTGTGACTATTCAGGAGTCTTCACACCTCACCTGATAGGGACATTAGAAAATATAAAGCACCTGTGCGGTGTTACATGGGTCAGCAAAACAGAAAAAGAGATCATGGAAACGCATTATTGTTAAAAATTTCACACCGATTCCAATGAATTGGTAAAGTTTCCTTTGAAGTGACGAAAATAAACACAAGCTATATCAGTACCTGTTGCAATACATTTCCACTGAAGTGAAGGAATTGTATAGCACAGAAGGCGTGAATGTTGTGTCGTTACATGACTATGATATAGGACCTGAGCTGTGTCCTTCTGATTATAAAGGAACTGATATTTGGTTCATGTACGCTCTTCACTGCTTACCGTGTGGTCACAAGGCAGTTTTGATCAAAGCAATTGACACTGCCAATTTTCGTGCATTGAATCTTTTATGCTAATATTCACGCAATACAAGGCTCGAGAGGCACTGACTGTAGAGAGTTACTGTTTAAAATGGTCATGAGGAGCGAGGTGTGATATAAATGAAGATAATGAGGACAGGGAAGATAGATAATTGTTTCTTGATTTGAAGAAGTTAATATTGTGGTGTTCATGGAATTATCCACGCGGGAGTCTGTATTTAGACTATGGACGGGATAGTGAACTGTATAAAAAATACTACTGGTGACTTTGCAAGCAATCTAAGCAAAGGAAAGGTCAAATCACTTACATTTTTTTCATGCCGATGCAACACCACCTTATCGTTCGTATTTGTATCACAGATGACAATGTTCACCAGCATGAAATATATCTTTACAAGAGGACAAGCCTCAACTGAATCAGGCAAAACCTTTTTTTTTTCAAGAGGTATCATCTAGATCGCACAGTGTTAAAGGCAGGACCCGCATAGTACATTAAGGGAGCTGCATACTAAACAGGACATATTTAGGATCAGTAAACCATAGCTTAACAGTACCTATTTTTACTAAATATTCACGCAATAAAAGGCCTAAGAGCTACTCAAGGTAGAGGGTTACTAAATGAGGTTGTCGTATGGACATAGGAGGGGGAAGTGGTAAGTACAGATTATGGTTAACGGTTGACCCTAGACTTAAAGATGTTAAGATTATAGTGTTCTGGGAAGCATCCTCTTGGGAGTATGTTCCATAAAGTAGCAGCCATGGAGAAGAAGCCACTCGATTGGAACTTCTCCCTTACTAATGGAATACAAAAGGAATGAGGATGGTTCGCCTCTGTATATGGCATGGATGTAAATGTCTGAACTTGTGAAACTAGAGAATGTAGCTCGTCCGGATATTTTCCAAGGAAATAGGATTAGAGTAGCGAGAGGCTTGCGATGTTAATCTGTGACAGAGAGTTCATCGCCAACAAATCCGCGCAAACGCTTTTGAACTCTGTAGAAGCTGGAAAGAAAGGACTGAGTAACTCCAGCTTAGATAAATTACCAAATTAATCTGGGCAACGCTTTTAGAGAGATCAATATCATGCAAAGAAGTTGCATTTTATTTTGTAAATTATGTGTGTAGCCTCGAGAGGCTCATCCGAACGTGAATCCTATATTCTCCTATGGATGTATGTTTCTCCCTCTCATCTCTCTTCTAGAGCGGATATTTATATACATGGCGGCTATTGTTTTTTCCACGCGCACACACCAAGCGTAGCTGAGCAGATCACGTTGTCATGTCTAGCAAGCCATTGAAATCAAGTGAATCGCTGAAGTCACCCCTTAGATCAACCGTGTACCCGGTGTCTTTGAAGAACACTGGGTGCAAAGTCAATTTCAACATCATCCAAGGTACACCACATACTGCAAATTTTTGCAGTTGTGCAAGAGCGTTCCATGATAGAGTGATTCTTCATATTATGTATTATATTATTAATGTTGTATATCAATGTATATTAATTCATTCATGCGTTCAGTTAGCGCCATGGTCACCCCCCCCCATTTCTGTTGTAATTATAGTTCATGGTAACATTCAAGGCAAAGTAGTGCAATGTCTTGCCGGTTCCTTTTGGACCAGGGATGTTGAGGTTACCCAGCTCCTCCTCTCAGAATTTCCTCTGCCTACTGGTAAAGCCGTCGACCTCTGAGGCGCAGTTCATACGCACAGGCTAGAGACAGGCCGACAGACGCTTGGCTTAGGTGCATTGGGAAGAGGCATTCCCCTCCATCGGTCGGGTCGGGGAATCCATCCGACTACCCCCACACAGTTTATTCTGCAGGTCGATGCCGTTGACAAGAGTGTGGCCGTCGCATTGCCCATGCAACTTCGTGGAGTCATGTGTGAGAGTTGGATGTAGGCAGTGGACCAGTACAGTTCCGCATCCCAATTCACCTGATTAAAACAGGGCCAACCGTTTATTAAAAATGTGCCCGACGATTGTGTGCTTTGGCATGCATGAAACTATCAGTCGTGAGTAGCCATTAGAGACTCTTATTTTATAAGGAAATAATATCTATCTATCTATCTATCTATCTATCTATCTATCTATCTATCTATCTATCTATATGCGTATGTATATTTGTGTGTGGAAAATTCAGATATAAATAAAACGTATATGTAAAGACTATATTAGTGAAGAAATGACAAGAGGAAAACATTTTATGACAACCTGTGTCGTTCCTTGCCTTGATAAAGTTACTCAAAAAACGAAACGCGTTGGCATAAAAGGTTTTCCTCTTGTCATATACTTTATTAATACACACATATGTATATATATATATATATATATATATATATATATATATATATTTGTAAGTTTCTTACGGGAAACAGATAAGACTTATTAATTGCATTTAATTCTTCGTGCATGAAAACACATGAATATTGTAATCATAAATACACACGATTTTAGCAGCTAATACATACCCGACAGTTACTTGAAGTGTTGCAATTTTTTAAGATGGCCATTTTGAAGTAAAGATGGCGGCTGCAGTTTTGTTCAGATTGAGTGTCCTATTTTTACATGAAGCAGCATTAAAATTATTGACTTTGATGCAAGTTTTCGCACATTTTTGCTAACATTTTGAACAATTATGGTTGAAATTTCAATCTGCTATACTATTCCATGAGGGTGGTGGTTTGATTTTCAATGTAACTTGAAATGATGTCTGTCACTGACTAACGTACATGCTTGCGATTCCATCTATAATCGATAACCCATTTAATCCAGTAGGTCAATGACAAGGGATGGACAGTACCATTTTCTTTACATCCTCTCAATAAAGTAAAAGTTTCAATGTCTTGCACACACAATATTAAATTTCTGATTCACATCCTTTCTAATCCAGGAGATTACTAATGTTATCATTTTAATATTTCGTTATATCAACTATGTCATTAAAACCATTACACAAATCCTCTTTTTACCAACAGGTGATAAAAAAGATTGAGTTGTAAGAAAGCTCGCCTTTGGAAAGCTGATAGCAAAATGAATAAATAAATAATTTAATTAAAATTAATTTTTAATATATTCGCTTTTTAGGGAAATAATGTCTTATTTGGTGTCAAATTGGCTTCTGTTTCATTCGCTTTTCTAAAAGTAAAAGATTTGGCATTTCTTTTAACGGAAAAAGAACACAAACTTTGAACTTAGCAAAAGAAACAAAGAAAAGGAAGGTTAAACCGATTTTTGCACAGTATAGAAACAAACTTTAACTGAAAAATTACGGAAAAAATTTTGCGAAATTAAATAATAGAATTTTATTAATCTTATTCAATATACACATTTATGATAGATTCATTAATTATATTTTGATTTTATTGAATTCAAGAGGCTTGTTTTTGTTGATTATGGGAAAATGCCCATCTCAAATTTCACTGTTAAAAAGCATATATGTGTGTATGATTATGAGAGAGAGAGAGAGAGAGAGAGAGAGAGAGAGAGAGATGGAAGGGATATTTTTCGTACAGTTTATTCATGGTGGGGCTATGAGAAAAATGGCCCACGCATTTTCACAAACTTATGCAAACATCAACCTCGTCTCTTTTCTCAACAACTTTTCTCAAGTTTGTGTTTTTAATCGAAAAAAAAAAAATGAGGCGGATGGGGGTCTGAAAAAAAGGAAAGGGAGGAAAAAGAAACTAAAGCGTTGCGTTAGAAGAAAAAAGAAAAGGGAAAACGAGCGTTCTATTAGAAAGAAAAAAAAAAGGGGGAAAAAGTAGTAACTAAAAAAAATATTTTTTAAAAGAAAAAAGTAAACTGATCTGCAGTTTGCAGGTCTGTATCATTTTGGCTTCTCGAAGCAAAATAGAATGAAATGAGAAAAACGGCACAAAAAGTAAAAATAAATAAATAAATAAATAGATTAAATAAAATAAATAAAAACAGAAAAGTAAAAAAAAAAATTTTTTTTTACAAAATTAAGAAATACATACGAGGTTAAAGTTTACTTGGAAGCGATCTCAAAGCTT